GCTAAAAGATCAACAATATGCTACAAACAACATGACAAAGGCTGACATGCATAAAAGGGCTTGGACCCCGGTCATAACTGCTTTTGCAGTTCTAGTTCTTGTTTGTTTCTTATGATGTTTGATTTAGTGTTCAGTTTGTTCCCGTGCCTCCAGTTTTTCCTGTAATAACCAGCGTCTTTCATTTTCCACTGTCTGCTTTCACTTCTCAGTCCTGCCACACATTTTTTACACCTGTTCTCTGTCCCATTAGACTCGTTTGTCTCCAAGTCTTCCCATCAGACCCAATTCTTAAAATGCTTGTGACACGCATGTCTTTCAAATAAAAAACAGTCAAAGACATGGTTATATTTAAGAAACTTGGCATAACGCACATAATTTTAACCATTTTATCACATAACCAGCATATTTTCTTCTGAATTTAGCTCAGCCAAAATGAAACAGGAAGTGACGTCAAAGGGGAATTCTTTAAGAAAGAAAACTCTCTGGTCTTATTGAAACAATGTCATTTGAACTCTGGCACTTCTTCATCTCTCAACGTGATCTAAAGTAACATTTAACTCTTCTCTACAGTGTACGTTGCTGACCATTGTAGCAATGCTCTGCTCACATGAAGACATTCCCTTTGACATCACTTCCTGTTGTTTAACATGCAAATATCTCAACTGTCCATCTCGGCAGCGTGACATTTATTTTACAATGTTATCTCTCCAAAAATGCATTTAAATTTATGACAGAAAAATTACGTCACAGGAGATTTAAAGTCTTTCAACTTTGTCTTGCTCATCAGCCAAGAACTGAGCATTGGTCGTGCCAAGTCCACATCTCCTTTGTGTTCTTTGTTTGTTTTTATTTTTGTTAATATTCTAGATCTTAAAACTTACAGCGAATATGCTATTGTATTCAAAGTTTTTATAAAGTATGTTACGCATTTGTGAGTTTCTGTCCTTTTAACGGCAGTTCATGTGAAGTCAATAAGGTAGCCTGCGTCACAACGTAAACATTTTTTAGCCTCTGGGAGAAAGAGAGAGGGGTAGGGGGGTTCAGTGAGGCAGCATCAAGCTCTGATCTGGTTTAATACCAGGCTGACTTTGTGATTGGATTACGGTGTTACCTGAGGGCCACACAGACCTTTCTCTTTTTTCAATGACTTGGTCAGAAACTGTGTTCTTTTTGTCCACAACAGGCAGTGCATCAGCAAATGTTGGCCTGTTTCTGATCCTCAAGATGACATTTAAATAAAAACAATTCCAATCAAAAATGATTGTGTCTAGGGAAAAAAAAGGAGCAGCTGAAATTGGTCACTTTTTATATATAATTTTGAACTCATTTCATATGAAAAGTTAAACTAGTTTTTGCTTATTTAATCAGCACACCTTTCCTGTTATAATCATTTTTATGAGCTTTTAAATAAATAATATCACAATCATGTCTAACAAATAAGTATTTCACACTGACCACAATCATGAAAAGACAACACACACAAACTGGAGGCCTGACAAATGTTGCCTTTCATTTCTCTTTAAGGCTCATTCTTCAGTGGAGCGCGCTGCTCTGATTGGAGCAGTATTGATGAGGAAGGTTCCTACAGACCACTGCTACGCCGTCAGACAGGAAACATTGAAGAGGATGGTGGAGGAAGACAAAGCAGCAGGACTCATCCCATTTTATGTAAAAACAAACCAAACATAACTCAAATGCGCAGAAACTTAACAATATAACATTTCAGTAAACTGAATCATGTGTATCACTGGATGTCTGCACCAACTAAAGCTTCCATCCAGTCTCAGCTTGTCTGAAAGTTCACACTGATGTAATTTACCTGAGATGCAGCTGCGTTCACCCCAGGTTCTGCAGGAGGATAACATTGTTTTGATTAAACCTAATGTAGGCTTATCTGGTTAGGAACAATAACCCAGCTCTCGTCTGGAGCTCCAGATCGCAATCAGTGAAAAATAGTGAGGAGGGTTGCAGTGACCTGGCAGCTCGGAGTCAAAATGACGCCTCCGTCTTTGTTCAACAGATCCATATCTGAGCTTGTAGGGAAGCAGCTGTCATGCAGTATTGTTTCAAACATCTTTTTTTTTTGTTCCTCAAAGATATTGCTGATCAAACATTTAATTGTGGTGATGACCTGTTGATCTCTGGACTTGATGTAAAGCATGGAAGCTACGCTAAAGCTGTGGTAAATGAAAGTACCACAGAGGATGTTCCCCAGGAGGTTCTGCTCACTCTGGAGCAACAGGTTGTGACTTTTTTTTGCAGGATAAAAACATTAACATCACACCTGAGGACATTTCAACCTGCCACACCTTGCCTACTAAAACAGGGAAAAAAAAAACGTCCATTGTAATCAGATTTATTAGTAGGAAAATGAAAAATAATCTGATGGGGCAGGCAAGAAAACTGAAGTGAACAAATGTCTTCATAAATGAACATCTCACAAGAAAAAAATAGTAACATAGCACGTGAGGCTAGATCCCTAAAAAAAACAAAAAAAGATAATAGCAACTTGGACACGAAAAGGAAACATCTGGATCAGAGATGAAAAAGGTTCACAGGCAAAAATGATAAAGGAACAAAAGGAATTGGAAAAATTTAAGTAAGTTTAGGAGTAAAATCTAAACTGAAACAACCTGGAAAATAGGAGTTAATAAAAACTGAAAATGGATACAAATATTAAAACATGAAAATTTACCACAACTCAGAATCTAAAATAAATGACTTAGATGATCAGATTGATTCAAATTTTACTCCAATAATCACTGACTGTGATCACTATAATGAGGGACAATTTAATAATATTAAAAGGACAAAAGATGACCTCTCTATTATTCATATCAATAGTAGAAGCTTATATGCAAACTTATTTAAAATTACAGATTATTTAAATCAACTAACCAGAAYCWRTAGTATAATAGCATTCTCAGAAACATGGCTTAATGATGAAAATGTGAAAAATGTTAATATTGAGTGGTATGAACCTTATCATATGAACAGAAGTAACAGAAGAGGTGGTGGAGTGGCTCTATGTATTGATAAGGAAATAAAATGTAGGAAAATTGTTGAAATGTCAGTAAGTATAGATAACATTATGGAAATAATAACAATTTAAATAAGAAATAAAACCTCCAAAAATATCATAATAAGCTGTGTATATTGACCACATGACTCAAATATAGAAATATTCACTGATCACACAAAGTTACTGGAAAAAGCTTCTAACAAAACAGTTTTTTTTGTGTGGAGACTACAATATTGACCTGGGTAATAAAACAGAGACAAATAATATTGGTACATTTATAAGCTCAATGTACCGTCTAAATCTGTATACTTTGATATCAAAACCTACAAGAATCACTACTCATAGTGCCACAATAATCGATAATATTTTCACAAATATAACAAAAAGAGAGATAATGGGTGGTATTTTTATTACTGATGTGAGTGATCATCTACCAGTTTTTATACTTTATAAAAATGTTCAATACAACACTAAAGTAGATACAATAACAAAAAAAATTGACACATCAAAAAAAGCTATGGATAATTTAAAGGATGATTTGAGAAAACAAAACTGGAAAATGTGTATGTTAGCGATGTGAACAAAGCATATGATGCTTTCATGAATATATTAGGATGTTTGTATGAAAAAAAATTGTGAAAAAAATTACAAAAAGAAAGATGTTGATAAACCATGGATGACCAAAGGGCTGAAAAGTGCTTGTAAAAAAAGAACTACTTGTACTCATGCTTCTTGAGACTAAGAACAAAAGAATAAGAAGAAAGATATAAGAAATATAAAAACAATTTGGTTTGGATTATACAAAAACAAAAGAAAGAGTATTATAGTAAGTTATTAGACAAAAATAATGGTAATACAAGAGCAACATGGCAAATAATGAATAGTGTTTTGAAAAATCATGAAGTAAAATCAGGTACTCCACAGTATTTTGTAAAAGAGGGAATTGAAATGCATGATCAAAATTAAATTGCAAATGGATTCAATCATTATTTTGTGAATGTTGGCCCAAGTCTTGCATCTAAAATACTTAAAGTAGATAGAAATGTTAACCACACTGTTACAGGTTGTGTAAATGGTTTATTTCTTTATGAAACTGATAAAGAAGAAATAACAAATATTGAAAAAAATCTTGCAGACAAGAGATCAAAAGACTGGGTTGACATGGACATGATGTTTGTAAAAGACAAGATGAATACAGTGATTGAACCGTTTACATACATCTGTAATTTATCATTTTCAACTGGTATATTTCCAAACAACATGAAAAGAGCAAAGGTAATTCCTCTTTTTAAAAATGGTGAAAGACAAGTGTTTAACAACTACAGACCAATATCCCTTTTACCATAATTTTCAAAGATTTTAAAGAAGTTATTTGTGATTAGATTGGACAAATTCATTGATAAGCAAAATATGTTAAGTAACAGTCAGTATGGGTTTAGACCAAAAAATTCTACATCGATGGCTCTCATTTTAATAGAACATATAACAACTGCTGTTGATCAAAAAGTATTGTATCAGTATTTTTGTTGATTTAAAAAAGCGTTTGATACTATTAACCATAGTTTTCTTTTTGAAAAGTTAAATATGAAATTAGAGGGCATGCATTACAGTGGGTTTCTAGTTATTTGGAAAATAGAAAACAATTTGTAGAAATAAATAATGTAAGATCTGAGTTTTGTAACATCTCATGTGGAGTACCTCAGGGTTCCATTCTCAGACCAAAAGTTATTTATTTTGTATGTGAACGATTTGGTAAATGTAACAGATCTTTTTGGGTCTGTTCTATTTGCTGAAGATACAACATTCTTTTGTTCCGGTAATGATATAAAACAAATGTTGGACATGATACAGACAGAATTTATGAAAATACAAAGTTGGTTTCAACTTAATAAATTATCATTAAACTTGGATAAGACAAATTAAATGATTTTCTGTAACAATAAGAGAACTATATATGTTTCATTTAAAATTGATGATGTAGAGATCTGTAGAGTCAGTGAAGTGAAGTTTCTAGGTGTCATTTTGATAAAAAACTGACAAGGAAAAATCATATAAATTGTTTAAGAACAAAAATGGCCAAATCAATTGGATTACTGTACAAAGTAAGAGAACTGTTCACTGATAAAGCACTGTTTATGTTGTATAACGCTATAATTGTTCCACATTTAATTTACTGTATTGAAGTATGGGGTAAAGCTTGTAAAAATATCACAAATCCAATTTTTATTTCACAGAAAAGAGCTATAAGAGTTATTACTACAAAAAATTACAGCCATCCATCTAATATTTTTTTCATGACTTGAAATTATTTAAATTCTATGATTTGACTGATTATAATATTTTACTGTTAATGTACAGAGCTCATAAAGGTGTCTAACCTCCCAACATTCAGGTAAATTTTGTTAAAAGACAGAGCTGTTATTATCTTAAGGGAATAGAAATGTTTCAGAAACCTTGGGTTCGTGCGAGCCTGAAGGAGCGATCTATTTTAATCCATGGAATAAGATTGTAGAACAGCATGGAAGATGACGATAAAAATGCCAGATCCTTGTATACTGTATATTGAAGAGAATGTTAAAAACCAGTTTTCTGAAGAAATATGGAGAATCATAAGTGAATTCATGCTAATTTTTTTTGAATTGATGTCTTTTTATTTTTATTTCATTTTTAAATGTTTTAAGTTGTTTTGATTTTTGTTGTATTTTAACTTTTCTTTTGAACATATTTTGGGTATAAAAAGGGGCAGATATGATAAGATTTACTCTTCTTCTGCCTTTTGTTTTATTTTATTTTATTTTGATTGCATTTTTTCTGTACTTTGTTAGTTTGTGTTACAATTGAAATGAATGAAGAACTACTACTACTATAATCAGTGCTAATATTTGGCTTTATTTGTGCGTTTCAGTTTTGTGCCACCCTCGGCACCACTCCTTCGTGTGCGTTTGATCGGATCACCGAGCTGGGACCCCTGTGTGAGTCAACAATATGCTGCTGCTCACAAATAAACAACCAGTTTCAGGTTACACATTTCCACACAGTCATTGTAGATTTTACCGTGAAACTCAAGCAACCACAGCTGCTGGTATTTAGTGTACTTGTAGCTTTTATTTTAAAGTCCATCAACTGCAGATGCCTGTATTTTACCAGAAATTTTCCACTGTACTTTGTCAGATAAGTATATATATGCATACAGATATAGGGTGGGTCAAAAGACTCAGGACACACTTTTACCTCAAAAACAAAAGGGAAAATGAACTATTTTAAGGTCTAAGATGCTTCAAACAACTTACAGCTAACCAATATCAGAGGTGGGGTGTGAAGCACCTCGTTTGTATTTCATCCACAAAATTTGCTTTGTTTTGATAAAATATAGATTTTTTTGTTGTTTAAAGGTTGTTTACTATATACAATATTTTTCCTTAATTTATTATAGACAAACAACAGCTAGTTCACAGCTTGTTCTTGTTATCTGTTTAGATGTAGTTTTTAGTATTTGCCTCTGTCTCTGAGTATTATCATTATTACACTAGGAATTTTTCCATTAAAAAAACTGGGCTGTCTCAAACATTGTCATGATATTTCATAATATGAAATTCTGGCACCCACAGCAGCTGGCATTTTGCCATAAAACCCACAGTTATATTTGTGTTAAAGCATAGACTATTGTGATCATAACAACATATTTTTTTCATCTCTATTTTCAGGTAATAAGGAAAATATGTGGATGCACATTGATGCAGCTTATGCTGGGAGTGCCTTTATCTGCCCTGAATTTAGACCTTTATTAAACGGCGTCGAGGTAAGACTTTATGTTTCTATGGTACTTTGACACCTTGGTTTAATTACTAGTTTTGGCTTTAATTCAAATAATCCTGTTGCACCAATAATGCTTTGTAGAAAGCAAGCTTTTGGTAAGATTAGTTATGTTAATGCGATCCTAGCATTCTAGCTATGAAGAAAGACTTTTGGCGTAATTATCTGTGAAATCTTCATGATTGGATCTAAAGAAGTAAACACTAACCTTAAGCATCTTGAAAAGGACACCGAGTTAACGTCAGGGAGGAAGCATGCCAGACAGAGCAACAGGCTGAAACATTTGGTATTGTGACGGCAGAGCTTCAATGTGCCTTTTGAGGCTACCGGAGCTGTGCAGAGATAAGGACGGAATCATTTCCTGAGGCAGCTTCAGACCTTTTTTAAATCACTGTTTATTAGACACACTAGTTTGAACAGTGTTGCTGGGGAGACGGAAAACAGGCAGATTGGACTTCAAAAAGGACAATAAGTTGTTTCATCTTTATTTTGACAAATAGGCTATTTTTTATACATTTTTCATTGAGTATTTATTTAATGCTACCAAAAACTGATTCTTAAACCTTCTTTATTTAAAGAGTTACAGCTGAGTCTGAATATTGCATGCTAATTTTTTTTGAGACATCACAAGTTAGGTGAAATTTGTTTGATGAAGACATAAAGGAGGAATCTGGCCTCCTTGGATGAGAGGGTCATTTGGTTGGATGGTTGGTTGCTAGGACACGAGTGATGGGCAAGGAGCTGTCCACCCCTTTGAATCGGTCAGCATGGCAACTGTCAGCCAGGAAACTGCATCACATTGTCTATCTGTGTTAGGTTATTGCATCTGCTGAGGTAGGAAACAGGATATTACTGAAGATAGACCAAAAGATAAGAACAGATTGGGAAAAACTCATATTCCTTTTGACTAAACTTGACATGAAGGTTGTTTATGGTTTTCAGTCTCCAGCTGGATGTTTCCTCTTTTGCATTCCAGATAAATTGTCTGCTTATATTACTGCCAGTGACAGTGTTCCCTCTGCAGCGCCTGTTTTTAAAGTGAAACGGTCAATCATGTGATTTATTTATAAATAATATTTTTTATTGTTCATTTTAAAGTTTGCAGATTCTTTCAACTTTAATCCACACAAATGGCTTTTAGTCAACTTCGACTGCTCTGCGATGTGGTGAGTTGTCCAAAAC